AGACGCCAATATTGGAGCAACCCAACTTCCCGACACTGCTGTCATTGATCTGCCTATCGAAGAGGCGTCCCAGGAAATCTTTGTCTCGCCACCAGATGGTTAGGAAAAGGCCCCGTTATGATTGACTTATGGACCAGTCTTGCTAACGTACATAAGATTTGTTCAGATACGACTCCCCTTGAGAAGACCTCTGTCTTTTCAGAATTAAAGAAATATGTAAATGATGCACAAAACAATTGCATAAGTGCATGACATGCTTTCGGAGTTGACCAAAACCCACTACCTCTTCCATGTGCACTTGTTGACCGCGCAACCCTAGCTGTGGCCGGGCAGGGGCATTATTTTCAGGCCAGACTTACTGTACATATCTCATTCAAGGGAACAGAGACTATCTGAGGCTGGATTTCGAGTGTTTGCCTGTAAATACGAACATCAGCTGAGCGATCTACGGATTAACGTACAATAATTCGTGATTTGGTCCACTCAGCTGCTGCATCGATTGTATTTGCGTAAGGACTGGAAGGGCATGACAATTATGGAAGATCAATCTGTCACCACAGGGATCCATGAAGAAACCTGATAAAATAAGAACGTCGTTGTTCCCGCGAACATCATCCACAGCTATGACTAGTTCCCATACTTCGCCATCTTGTTCCTCACTGGCAACGCGACGAGATATATCCGCTAATATTCCGGCACATAGACCGAGAGCCAGTCGCTCTTGATCTCCTCTAGATGCTGAGCGATAAAACAATGGTCATGAAGGACATGCAAGCTGTCTCTCCCATCCCAGAGGCAACAGCCAAAGATACCGTTCGCCATCAACCGGTAGAACCGGATGTGTGGGCCGAAAGTAATCGCACCATGGATTTCAAGCCCATCGTGAATTGGAATGGCTGTCAGCGCCTCGGTCAGCTGCAATCTCAGACGATCTTCGCCCCGGCGCGAGGGCGGTCCTTGTGTCTGTCTCGGAGAGCTTCTGCAGTGGAGAAACAGGAACCGGGTGGTTTCAAACGTACCTAGTCGTGTGGTGACGGACAATTGAACGAAGGGGAAGACGGTGCTGGGCGTGGCCTGGATGACGTACTCGTTGTTGCCAGGCCTGTCAGTTTGCGAGATGGGGAAGTGGAATTTGAGGATCTCAGTCCAGACCTCATATACCTCATTTTTGTCCATGGGGTAGTTGGCGAGGTCACGGATCCTTTGCTGCAGCTCCGGGCTGTAGCTATCCTGGGGATTGTTAGTGGGTTGTATGGGTGAACTGGGGATTGAACTTACCATGATGACCTTCGGGATCGTGTAGTAAACGAAAGGCGGCAGGTATAGGGAAGAAAAAGAGTTGGGAATAATCTGAGAAGGATGAAGTCTTGATTGAAGACTTGGTTGAGAGTCATTCGAGAATAATATATTCGTCCTAGGGAGAGAGGTCTCGCTTCTTAGACACCAGGTATAAGACAATATCGGAATGAGCCAGACAAAGAAGAACAGGTCAGAAGAGCTGTCCCATTGTTTTTGTTGCTTGTTTGTTGCTTGCCATTAACAATGCATTGTCTCTCAAATGTGCTGCTTAGCACAAAGGATTGAGTTCAAATGGACTGGAACATGGTATATAGTAGTAGTAGTAGTAGTAGTAGTAGTAGTAGTAGTAGTAGTAGTAGTAGTAGTAGTAGTAGTAGTAGTAGTAGTAGTAGTAGTAGTAGTAGTAGTAGTAGTAGTAGTAGTAGTAGTAGGGTATAACTAAATAGTTATTTTATAAATTAGGGAGCACATAACCAAAGTAGTATATAAGTAATATATGGTATATTGTTAGGCTACCTAGTTGGTAGGCCTTAGGTAAGGATTGGATATAGTCCAGGGACTATATCACCCTGTTCCTAAAGTAAGTTGACTAGCACTCTAGCAGAGAACAGCAGAGAAGGATCCTAGGGTGTGACACCTGCCTATCACTAGCTTCTATACTATCTATAACTACTTCAGCTTACTTAGCTATACTAATATTATCTTCTATAACATAGAGTCACTCCATTCTGGATTATTTTACCCTATGTGGCACATGTATGCTCTCATGACCTTTTACCTAACTATCCTAGGTAGGCTAACTGTATATTAGCTATTAGTATATAGGCCTATATATATACATCATACTCTGTCTACTCTTTAGTAAAACATAGTCTTGCCTTAAAGATTAATACTTTAAGGCACACTCTAGTTATAATAATAATATAAGATTATTCTAAAGTCTATTCTATGATTAAATTATATACTTACCCCTATTATAGTCTAGTATATCTATCTCTTACTCCTGGGTTGCTATGGGCTCTATTAGATTCCTGTAATACTTAGATGATAAGAAATAAGCATATTTTTAAAATTCTAGACTTATATCTTAGAGATTACACAAGCTCCTTTTTCTATCCCTACTATATATTAGTCTAGCAGGGAAAAAGAGGTCAAAGGCTAATTATTAATAATTAAATCTAAGTACTATAGTCTACTAGTAATAAATTACAGAGCCTAACCTGCTGCTAAGGCGCCCATAGTCTATATACAGTGATTTAATGTTTTCTATAGTCTTTTAGAAAGGTGATATATTATTTTCTAGTTATTCTGATGACTTACATAGTTAATAGTTATACTTAGTAGGGACTAGTTAGCTTCAGTTTCCATCTAAATATATGGAATTGGTTACTCCATATCACAGCTATCTATCAGCTATTTAGCATCCTATTAATAGGGTATGACTAAGAGTATTAAATAAATAATATAAAGTAATTATCTAGTAGTAGTTAGAGCTTCTTGGTGATAAGCTTAAGGTTCAGAAATATAGGAGCCATAATTATATAGGACTAAAGTAGATCCAAGTAACCCTAACTGAACCCTTATTATAGAATAGAATTCATTAGTACTAGATGCACCAGTGCCAGCTAAACAAAGCTCAGCCAGCTAAGAGGACAAATTATATTCCTGTTAAGGACAGTAGTAAGGCGCATAAAGAGTTCTGTTAATTAGTTTTAGCCCTCCAATATTGCTTGCTCTCAATTAATATTACATTGCAGATGAGTACGGATGGTTTAATTAGAGATGGACTCGTTCAACGATGTTGATGATACTTGAATTTTCATTAAATTGATTTTGCTCCTTGGCAACTGGAGGTGCCAGGAATGCAGCGAGGCTGAGGCCCAGGCAGTAAGCAGGAGTGTAGGACAAGGCTTTTCTCTGTTCCCAGAGCCGTTGCTCGACGTAAACTGCGAGCATTCGGGGTAGAACCCGATCTTGAGGAGCGGGATTCCTGTGCACGTTTATGGGGTCGATCTGCCTATGCTTTTCCTCATCATGTATGCCAGATTGTTACATATCCAAGTCAAGGGACACGGAACATGGCGCTGTGGCCCCTTCAGCCTCACACACTAACGTCCATGTCCCCCGTGGATGAAGCGACCAATAAACCTGACGGTCGATCAGTTAGCGTGCAAACCATACATACATACATATTACAGCAGTGACAGCCTTTCTTTCCCCTTTATTCCCCAAAGCCGTCGAAAAGCACCGCATATGACTGGGCAATAGTTGTGTTCCACCACTCTCTCTTCATCTAAATCAGATCTTTATGTGGATGGAGCTGCTGGAACTATCCGCGCTTTTCACTTTTCCTATCAGAGAACTTATTCATAAGAGAGCTTGAATAGTCAGCTTCTCCCCGGAACAGAGTGCACGCTTCATACCCTCGGTCTTACAGTATTCCCCGCACAATATGCCTTCACCAAGTCTTCAACCGAGATATGCGTCATGGGAAAGGATCACGCTCATTGTGGTTGTTACTTTTAATATGATGACTGGTATTGCATTGCTTGCATTTCTCGTCAGTGCATGTCTACAGAAGACCAAGGCACCATCCGAACGCGATTCCATTCAAATCTCTTTTCTTCTGTCTTCTAAGTTATATAATGTGAGTATCTCCATGATCATGACATTCGCGTACCGGCCAAGGACCTTCTTCATTAATGAATGAGCACAATATACGTCGATTATTCTATCTAAGGCATTGCATGTTCTTTTCCCCGAGAGAGAACTGCCGGGAAACGTTCTCGCCACGGGAATAGTTGGAAATTTTTGCTGGTATGTTCACGTTTTTCTTACTGCGAATGTATTATGTCGGCTTATACGCGCATACAATGCCGTCAGTTCACCACGCCACAATAGGGCCACCAAGTCTGTCCTTGCGTTGAATGTGCAAGGAGGCATCTTGGTAATCTTATTCATCGTTTCTGTTGTGTCGATCGTTATCCCCTATGTGAAAAGAGACAGTGACCTCCGTAACTTCCATATCGCAAGAGTCGTTCTCTTTTCGACCGCCTCCCTGGAGATCATGTTCGAGATATCCATGATTGTCTGGAAACAAAAAGATCTAAGTCTCTCTTGCAAGGTAGGCCGCCTCATGTTTTTGCTATTTTCGATGGGTCTCTCTCGGCTTTCTCCTTGAAAATGGCCTGCTCCCTAGGTTTCTACATAGAGCCGTTGCTATATGTGCAATCGGGCTATACACAGGGATTATCCACTTTTGTATGCAGTGGCATAAATTAGGCCCCCACTGCCCAAGCAAACCGTCGTCTACGGAAGATGAGAGGGCGCAGATGTTTGGGGCTTCTAACGAGGGACTTCATTGAGCATCAACTGTCCAGCTTCTTTGTTAACAGCGTAAGTTCGAATACAGTGACATCATGGCCTTGTTTCGAGAATCCCTTTCCTTGAATGGCCGTTTACTATCATCCCAAATGCTTCTCGTTCCATTTTAAGACCAGTCCGGTCAAATATACGTATTACCGTCCCCACCTCCGCATGCGTAGCAATCTTGCAAGGACGGCATTCGCTTGATGGATATACGTGACCAAGTAAAAAACCCCCAAAGTCAGCACAAAAGAGAATAACGGGAAGATCCAGAAGCTCTGCGATATGCGGATTGTAGAAGGGTCGAAATCGAAGAACTGACTCCCAAATACGGCCTAGATGGTCAGCAATGAAGTTCCATAGTCACCGGAAACATAGGACTCACGGATACGGTCGTCGTTGGCAGGAAGGAGAGTGTTACGATCGCAATGGTTGCCATGGAATTGCTATCAGCGTGCATGATTCGATTGCCGTCTTGCGTGATGAGGTGGAAGGACTTGATCAATACGATAACTATTAGTGTTTCTTGGCCTTGTCCTGGATCACAATCAGTGAAAGGAATGAGGCATACTAATGCGATAATATTGTCCATTCGTTTTTCAAGACTCTTCAGGCGCAAACTGGTGGACTGGAACTGCGTCTCGGCGTGTGCCAGCATTTCCTGTGCCGTTTCAGTTGCATGGCGGTCCGGGTCAGGAACTGTTTCGAGGATACGGCCGTGATGCCAGGACAGATTTCTCAAAGTGAGCAGCGTGGCCTCAGCGCTCTCCTGCAGAAACAGGATATGCTTGGAGACATCGTGCAGCCAGGTGAATGATTCCCTATACCTTGCAGTGGTCAGGGTGTTCTGCGAAGGTCAGCACGATCCAGGTGCACTAAGCTTGGAGGTCCAAAATACCCATTCAATGTGTTGAAAGACGTTCAGGACATCCCCGACCGTGTTGTCCATCTGCAGGGACAGTTCCTCCAGGACGATGGCAAAGAGACTATATGGGTCACGGACGACGCTGTTTGATATTGACGACGATGGAATTTGTTGAAGACGTTCTTTGAGAGAAATTGACGGCTCGAAACAGATCAGCGTTACTTCTGGATCTCGATTCGAGCCCACTGCCCAGCGCAGAAAATACCCAGACCGTATCCACGTCAAGTCTCCGTGCTTGAGCTGCGGCGCTCCTGGTCCAGGATCGGATATCGACGCCTTACCATGGGCATCGCGAGTGACGGTGATATTCTTACACAGATAGTGAAACCAGGCGCCTTGGGATAAGTAACGGTTATCAATAAGTATCCACATCAAAGATATTTATGTCACGTACAATTATAGCCGTTCATATCATTCAGAGCACCGAAAGAGTGTGTGACCGACCGCAATCTTCCCGCAAGAAATGCAGACGGCGCAGCATAGTGATCAAAGAGCCAGAGAAAGCCTTCTGCGGAGACACTGGTTGGCAGGTCCAGGGGCGAGAAGCTCAATGCTATGTTAGTCGAGATCTCTATATACTGGAGGAACCAACATGATCCGTAGTACAGGTACAGGCAACTGAGCTAGTTCAGGCACAGGAGCCTGTCGCGCGATTAAATGATACCCGCCTATCCATCCAGTAAGCCCCAATTTCGTGATAGTGCACATTTCAGATGGCCATAACTTACCATTAGGCTCCAGGCACCAATCTAGGACATTCAGCTTAAGAGCATCTGGAGAACACGCAGGATCGTTGGAAGCTGCACGTTTGAATGCGTCCAAAAGCGATTGGTCGTGGAAGATGGAGGACATATTGCCTACTCGCCTGCTCGATGTTGTTGAATTTCTTTCACGGAGCTCAATATCTAGTTATAAGCAACGAGGCGCTCAGCCTTGCAGCCTTGCTCTCACCTAGAGTTTGCCTTGCAAAGGCCTGAGCGCCAATATACGAACAGCAGTCGGATCGACACCATGGGGCAAGGTTACCCCATGTAGGTACTGAAAGGCTGATGTAGTACGACCATGCACCCAGTCAGATGATTGCAATTCCTGCATAATAGAGGCCATTTAACGTAATTCCCGGGTCAGCCGCCACCCCCCCATTCAAATTTGACGCGTTCAACATATTCAAATTTGAAGCTATCCAAATAGCTACTATACCACTAAAACCGCGTTAAACCACTAAAAATTTAGTGGAATAAGAGGGGAGGATCCAACTAGCAATATCTGCTTTGAGAAAGAAGGAAATCTCTAGCGTTCAACATGCTGCAGAGATATTTGATGTGCCTAGAATAGATAATCCACAGGCTTAATAAATAGTAAATATCATATATATATATTGTCTTCTGGCTCTGTTCAAAGTTTAAGATCTGTTCTACTATACTATTCTAGCTCTCTACCTACTATTTTAGCTCTCTACCTACTATTCTATGCTACTGTGCATGGGCTCCTATACCTTATTAAATTCTTAAGTCTCTATTACTTTCTGCTATCTCTTACTACCTTTCTTTTTAGTATCTATATCTTATCTTAATCTATAATAACTACTAATCTCTACCTCCTTCTCTACCTCTACTACTACTACTATAATATATACTAATTATTATAATCTTCTTTATCTATATACTTAATTATTATATCTATATAGCAGACCTTTATTAATACTATTGTCAAGGTGCAGGCTCGCAGGCAAGCAGGGGTGGGTTAAAGAGGTAGTTGATTTCAAGCCTACTGTGGAGCCGAATCGTAGGGAAATGATTGTATTAGATCACTATCTAGAAAGGGGCAGCGGAAGAAGCGAAGGTATCTACGCAGCGGGTCACGTGACTTGAAGCTATATCTAATCGGGCAGGGAGCGAGCCTCTGAAGAGAGGCCCCATTAGGCTCTCGACACACCCCCCTGAGCGACCTGACACTCTACTACGTAGAATATGAGGCTATTCGCAATCATTCCGGCTTTCCTTTCCCTCCTTAGCTTTTGATTTGACGTAGACCAATCAGCGAGCGGAATTCGTTGAAACTGGATAGGTTGAGCGGCTTGGTGAGGCCGTCGGCGGGGTTCTTGGTGCCATCGATGTATTTGAACGAGATATCGCCTTTCTGGATGTAATCTTTGACGAAGAAGTAGCGATTATTGATCCATTTAAGGCTTGAAGCGTATCCGTTCTTCTTAAGCGCATCCAGGCCGTTGTTGCTGTCTGTATGGATCCAGGTAGGCGTGTCGACTGGCAGGTCCAGGGCGATAGCGAGCTTCCTGATCCAAAGTGTTTCCTTGACGGCCTCGCTATAGGCGCAGAATTCGGCGATAGTAGTCGATGTGGCGACGAATGATTGTTTCTTGGATGCCCAGCTAATCGGGGCGCCAGCGTACATGATGATATACGCTTCAGTTGATTTCCCGTCTTCATGGTCTTGGAATGAGGCGTCGACGTAGGCTTCCAATCCACGGTCTTTCTCGGCTCCTAGGACGATTCCCCAGTCAGTGGAACCCCTAAGAAAACGCATAACGTTCTTGACAGCTTTGAGGTCCTCAATAGTCGGAGAGGAATTACGTCTAAGGACGCGGAAAACGGTGTAGTTGATATCTGGACGTGTCTTGCGGCTGATCCAATTGAGTTTTCCGGTGAAACCTTGGTATCCATTGACATCTCCATATGGTTCCAGATTCTTCAGGTGTTCGGGGTTCGATACGAGCGTTCGATATCCCGGATTCATCGGTGTCGTCTGGCTACGACACTGTGACATGTTGACACTAGCTAGGAAGGCTTCGGTGTATGCATCTTGAGCGAGAGTGATTGTACCTTTGTCGTAGTCCCTCGCTAGACGGCATCCTAGGAAGCGCGATGGTTCGCCCATCTCTTTCAGTTTGAAGCGACGAGATAGGTCTTCCTTAATTTGTTTGATGTCATGCTTCGTTGGCGCCGCGATTATCGTATCATCGACGTAAAGCATGAGGTAGAAGTCGCGTGCTGGAATTCTGTAGATGCAGGCGTCTTCGATGATTGGTTTGAATCCGATCTTCACAAGTTCCTCATTGAGTGTTTCATTCCAGAGCATGCCAGCTTGCTTAAGGCCATATAAAGCTTGCTGTAGCTGGCAAACCTGGTTAGTATCTTGCACAAATCCAGTCGGCTGGTCCATGAAGATTTGATATTTCTGGAGCATCGCGAATAGATACGCGGTGACGAAGTCACATTGCTCCCATTCGAGAGATTTACAAGCTATAGCAGTCAAAGTCATCTTAATTGATGTTTCGGCTGCAACTGGGGCGTACGTGTCGTCAAAATCAATTCCCGGCTTCTGTCGATTGCCGCAGATGACCCAGCGGGCACGGAATCGATCGATGTATCCATCCGAGTCGATTTTCAAATCGTAAACCCATTTTCCCGGTAGGATATTGCCTTTCTGGGGTCTTGGGACAAGTTTGTAAGTGTTCATCGCAGTAAGCTGTCTGATTTGATCATCCATTGCGGCCCACCAGTCGTCCTTCTGGGCCGATGCCATTGCTTGCTTGAAATTCGATGGAATTTTGACCTTATACGCCTTGATTTTCTCAGTGCCGGCGGCGGCTAGGCCCCAGCCCTTATCAGCTTGCTCGTTGCCATACCAGGGTGCCGCTATTCCCTTATTTGTTCTCTGTGAGATACGGCGTTTAATTCCAGCTGATGCCTGTCGTCCAATTTGAGTTGAAGCATGTCGTTCATTTCGAGTTGTTAGATCAGATTGATGTTGGATTTCCTGCGCTCTGATTGGCTGGTTGGGGGCTGGCTCGCTTAGAGTTTGGGAGCGAGGTGCCGGCGTTGGGGTGCCTGGTGAATGATTGATATGCGTAAGTGCGTCGTAGAATCTTCGGTTAGCAGGTTCAATATCGTCGGTATCTTGGGGATATTCGATAGATTCGATTGGGACATCTGCCATGCCGATATCATTAGGTTCTGGCACCCTTTTGGTGTGTTCCCTAGCGTCGGCAAAGGGAGATTGATGGATTTGAGGCCGTTGGATATACGCGGTTGCATTCAGCACATCTGTCATGTTGATTTCAGGGACTTCTGGGGCATCCCGGATTTGTCTAATGTCTCTTGCTGCTTCGGGGCTATCCGAAATCGTTTGGACGCGGCCTCGGATCGGTGATTCGATTCGTTCAGGTGCAGGAGCTGGTGGTTCGGCTTGTTTGGTTTCCTGGAATACGGCCTTCTTCGGCTTTGAGGCCGGTGCCATGGTAATCTGTATGGGAGGTAGCTTCATTGCTGCCCCCGGTGTATCGCCGGACGGCGGGCCTGTTTTTGGACCAGTTCCTGGGGCCGTAGGAAGGCCTCCTTGCTGGTCATCTCGGTATGTTTTCTCTTCGTAGAAGGTGACATCCCGCGTGCGTATGACCTTGTTCTTTGAGGGGATCCAAATCTTGTAGATATGACCATTTTCTCCTTCGTAGCCCATGAGATATCCAATGTCGGCTCGGGGGTCTATTTTCCGTGATTTAACGCGGTCTTCCTTCGGAATGTGTACGTACGCACGGCATCCAAATATCTTGATATGCTTGAGCGTCACATCAGCATTTGGTAGGTTGAAATATTCCCTCCATTGGGAGATGGGAGGTTTCGTTTCGTCTTGACGATTCATCCGATTGGATATGTACGCTGCGGTTTCAATGGCAAATGGCCACATCTCCGCGGGTAGGCCAGAATCAATTAGCATGACGCGGGCGATTTGGTTTAGATAGCCTCCCCATCTTTCAGATATACCGTTCGGTTCGGGTGCTCGGGGAGGTGTAAATTCAATTCGGATGCCTTCCTTTTTCGCGTGCTTAGCGAATTTGGCCCATTCTCCTCCATTATCCAGCCTCCAGCGCTGTATCTGGCGGCCGGTTGTAATGAGGTGATTCTTGCACATGTTAATCATTTCGTCTGATGCCTTTTTCTCTTTGAGCGGCCTTGTCAGGACCATACGGGTCGTCGCATTGACCATGATCAGATAGTGTTTGTATCCGCCGAAACCAATAGGTGTCAATGTCTGGATATCGGCGTACCAGAGTTCCGTTGGGTCTTTTGGACGAGGCTGTGGATCGCGGGATATTAGTCGTTTGGCCTTCCCGATATGGCAAGATTCGCAGTGGAAGTCAGTTTTAGTGATGTTGGCGTTGCTCTTTAGTCTAGGGATGCCTGCGTGAGCTAGGCGGCGGTGGATTTTGTATGCTTCGTCGACTGCTGCAAGAGATATGGCTTTCCCAGCGTCTGCATTTGTATGGTGTTTGGCTGGCAAGTCAGACGGCAGGATAATCTTGATGAATGGGACACTGAGTTCTTTGTATGTGTAGCCGCAGATTCGATCATTTGATAGTTCCCGAAGTGTGTGATCTTTGTTGGACCAATAGATGCCCAGCTCTTTACGCGCCATTTCGGATGAGAAGATGCCGAATGGCATATCTGGATTATAGTATGCTTTGGTCCGAATCGTAGCATGCTTGCCATTGCCTAGTTCCATGGTGATTGTAGCAATTCCATGCCCTCTTGCGGCTACTTTGCCTCCTCCAGCTGTATCATATGTATACGGCTCTTCTCCGGGGCCGTATTCATGATAGTTGGCTAGATTTGATCGGTCCGGGGTGAGCATCTTGCTGGTGCCGGAATCATACAGCCATTGCCGTCTCTGGTCCGGCAGGGCAGCTGCCGCGATTTCCATAGTGGTAAGGCTCATGGCTGAGTATTCGATGGTGAAGTCATTGATATTCGTAGATATTGCTTGCGCGGAGGTCTCCTGCGGCTTCTGGCTAGGCAAACGGCGCCATGCAAAGCACCAGAGATCTGGGATAGGTC